CAGCCCTTAGCAGCCTCACCCTGTGAGTTTGCGTGGTCTACCGCTTCGTGGCTGAGCTGCTGTTGCTTCTAGACGCTTTCATTTCACAATAATAGCATTTACAGTTGACCAGGGCAGACCTAACAGGGCAGAAATTTCACAAACTGACTTGTGGCAAGGGTAACATCCTTTCAACAGTGCCTCATATAAAACCAATCCTCAGAGCTCTTCAGTACGATCCATTCTACTGACAATGGTTGTCTATGGAGATCACATGGCTATATGCTTGATTTTCTACACCTGTTAGCAACGGCTGTGGCTGGAACAACCAAACTCAGTCATTAGGAGGGTTGTCCACATATTTTTGGCCACCAATTCACTAATTATTGGGGATGTCTGGATATTTTGGGGGGTATTTTGTTACATTTTTGGTGCACTTTAGAGTTATATAATACTGCTTGGTGACTTTATCTTCATCTGGAAGAGTAAGAAATTTGCTATGTTGTCTTTTGGCAAGATATAAAGAGAGGGAAGAGCTTCCTTGAAGACCATTAGATCTCCTTGGTACTAAAAACCATAAAACTGGAATCTTCCGTGCTGGTTTTCTGGTACCAAAGGTTCTGGTACTTTGTGCCGTGGACAGTTTTGTCGTTAGGAACTGAAATTTGGGCCTCCATACAGGCTCTCAAGGTTTAAGGGGTTATAAGTTTGTATTCTCTTCGCCTTACGCAAATTCTAGTGCACCCATCTGAGACACAACAATGAAACAATGCAACACTGCGTGAGCCCGCTCTTTACAAACATCCGGTGTGCAAAAACACTTGGTATGGTTCTATGCATCATTTCACAGCTTCTAGATGTAACGGACACAGTCATCTACAGGCACGTTTATGAAACTGAAATCATGGGCTACAAATTGTGGTCCAGTGTAGCATCATGTAGAGGGTCTTCCTTTATGTTTTTTGGTTAAGACTAGGAAGTTTATGTGCATTTTGTCAGTCACCTTTAACCTGCGTAGACTTTTAATCATGTAATGTGCCTAAAAAGCTGTCGCTTCTGTCTGTCAGTGTAAGAGAAAGTATATTTATGCTATGTCAAGGCCAGGGCTGCTAGGCCTCTTCCTGTGGTTTGAAGCATGTGGCTGAGAGGGTGTCAAAAGCAGGCAACAGTTCGCTTCGTCTTCCGTTGTTTCCGAGATGAGAGAGCAGCAGGTAGTGGTAAGAAATCTTTCTACGTTTAATTAAAAAATGAAGATGATGTGAAGTTTCTTTTGAATTATATTGGCTGCACTATGTGATAGTGCATCTTACAGCATGATACTGTACTATGAGTACCACAATGATTGATAACAGCTTTTTTTTATGATAGTAACTAATTTTTAAGTTCAAAGAACAGGAAAGACTCAAGCACTTGGCAAAAAGTTTTCCACTCGGATGTTCAGGACTATTTTGTGTTAAAATGTTCATGGTAAAAATGAATGATTATAATCTTACTCGGTACAATGCAACACACCAAAAGGTCTGACATTATTACTGAAAAAGCTTCTATTTTACATTCTTTTCTCATTAAATACAATATTTTTATTAATATAAGCAACTAAGTTACTAACTTTTTGTTAAGAGGTTGCATATTATGAGTGAAATTTAGAATCTTTCACATATTTACATGAATTTTAGCATTTTTAAGTATTTGGTCTTATCTTTTGCTTTAATGACTGTGTGCCCTTGAGCTGGACACCACACGTATGTGTAAAAACCTCTCAAGCGGCAAAAACGCTGTTACCAGTTACCAGCCTGCCTGAACATTTTGCCTCACTTGAACAAGTTAACAAGAATTTTAAAGCAGCCAGGTAACTAACATTTTTAAGTTAAAAAAATGTAAGTTAAGTTAAAAAAGTTAAAGCATTTTTTTTTATTTTACAGTGTAGCTCAAATCCACAGGAGAGACATCTGAGCACATGACTCAATAGAACAAATGAGACAAAATAAAAAGCAAGCTTTATTACACAAATTTGCTTCAATCTAAATATTGATCCAACAACAGTGCAGTATCTTCAATATTTCTTCTTCATTTGACCTATTTTACATTTTACACAACTTTGTTTTCATTTTTTAAATTATAAAACTTTGTTTTATTTATTTTCAGGTTTAAATTAACAAAAAAAAATCCAGATTTTCAGAGTCTTTTGGATACTTCCGTATGTGTATACATTATTTGAACTGGTTGTACGCTGGCAATACACAGACGCATAGTAACTTTGTGTACTTATGTACTTATTGAGAAATATTTCAAGATATTATAGAAATTTAAATAAAAATATTTTGTTTGACTTTTGACATCACTGCACTTTTTCACATGTGCAATTTTTTATCACAATTTTATTCTACAAGCAGAAAATAAATCATGTTGAACTCGTCTGTGATTCAGTCTGAAATGTGTAAAACAGTGAAATGCAGTCTAAATAAAAAAAAAAAAAGTTTTTTTATTTGAGAATATTAATTCAAGGAAGTGTGCAGAGTGGTGACTGGACCGCTATCAGAAGACACGCGAAGATCAAGAATACAGTGCTTTCATCCATAAAGTAAAAAGCACTACTAAATGTTCTATACAGTGTAGTGTTTCCTACTTTATGGATGAGTGGACTGTGGGCTGCAGTGGAAAACCCGAAGAAGCTGCATCAACTCTTGAAGATCACTGTGGTGGCGTTTGTCAAGAAAAATGTACTTAATGCTTTTGAACTAGGTAGCTGGTATGGAGCACTCTACCGCATTAGTACAAACTGCGGTACCACACTAGAAAAAGACTGCTTAAAAAACAATTAAGCACTCAGACCTATGATATTAGATTTTAAGGTTTATGTTATGCCAATTTAAAAGGCATTAACTGAGCTAGTAATGAACTAAATGTATACAAATTCATCATTTATAGAGTACTTTCTATTGGAAGGTGTCTGTCCCAAACCCTAACCCTTAAAATGTATACTTTAATACTTTTTTCAATGTTTTCAAAGGGTATTTGTGATGTTATTGTATTTGGATTCATCATATGTTTAATTTTTAAATAAAAAAATTTATTTAAAAAAAAAAAATGCTGTCCCACATTTTAATGTCACTAAAGAGTCTTAGTTCATGGGCGAAGCCTTATTTTAGCCACACCCCGGCATTTTGAAGCATGAAGCGAGACTGCATCTACATGGTGAGCGGTTAGGTGCCTTTGATTTTAAGTAAACGTGTCCCAAAGTCTGAAAATCAGTGTGTAGCATTAATAATTATCACTACTGAAACACATTTTCTGCAATTAAATAAACTTTTTTGTGTTTTAATGAAAAATGCTATGATTTTAAGTGTGTACAACTAATGGCGCCATCAAGGGGAGCCAAGGGGAGCCATGGCCACCCTGATACAATCACTGGGCCCTCTAGTGGCGCCCCCTGGTGATATGCATATGCATAATATGCTGCATAATACGCTTCTGTCGGATGTATTACATAATGTACTACGGTTGTCAACTAATATTCCAAATTCCATTATATAATAAATAAAAAAAACAGACATTCGATTGTTAAAAAGTAGTATTCAATTTTGCACTGAATGCACTGCATGACGGACAGGAGTCACACAACGTCACTTTCATGGTTTAAAATAAAACGTAGGTCCAGCTGAAACAGCGAATAATTCAACAATAACTGTGAAGTAACAATGGCAGAGAGTTCACAACCCAAGTCAGCCACAAAGAGAGTGATTTGCACTCTGAGCAATCTAAAAAGCCCCATTTGGAAATACTTTAGTGCAGAACTTAAATAGACGGCAAAACTGTGGAAGATAAAGATAAAGTATTTCTCAAGATAAAGTTGTATGTAAGCCATATAAGCTATAGTTAGCCTAGCATTCCAGCACTAGAAACAATGGAAAGCAAAATAGGTGAAAATTATTTTTTTTTAGTTGTTTGTAATTAAACATTAAAAAAAATGTTAAAAACCTGCAAGTTTAACAGACAATGCCTAAGTAGTTATCACTGAAACCATAGTGCTGAGATCACCTGCGATTTTAAGTTAAAGTAACCACTACCTATGAGATGAAACTTGATTGTCTACATTTATAGCACTAACTTTTTCAACTTTGTCTCACTTATGAAGTTTTTTGTTTTATCGATTTTCATACCAATACACTTCTCATTGTGTTACAATTGTAAACACAGTTATAATGACCACAAGTTCAGACATGAGGAGTAACACTTCTTTCAGTAAGAGTTTTGAGAGTTACATTCTCCTACATCAGTCTTTAAATTGACTGCTGAGTTGCTAATTGGCAGTAACCTCGATTATTCTGCCATTGCATAGTTTAGGTACATTAGGTATGAATGTTGACATGTAATTTAAGTGTCAAATGCAGTCTGTTAAATTGAACAGCATTGAACGACACCACTGACAGTAGCACCACTGACAAAATGACTAAAATCTGAGCTTTTCTAAAATACAGACACTGCTACTTTAGTTTCAAAGTCATATTGTATGTAGACAATTATACATATTTCATTAATGTGGATCTTCTTTCAGTTTTAAACTCACTTAATGTTTGGTGAGTAACACCATGGACATATTTTTTTTGAAACACCTGACGCCACTAACTATGGACTTCTTAGAGTTATTCTTTCTTAGTTTGAGATATTCATACAAGAAGAAGTTTACAGAGACCTTCCATTTTTATGACATTTTATGTTTCTAACATATGACAGAAAATAATTTGAATGCATTTTTTAATTTAAGCTTAAAAATAAGCAGTAACATTACTACTTCAGCATATGTAAGGTTACTGCTCTGACATACCCAATGTCTTGTACAACATGACTTAAAATCAATAAAATAAGCAGTCAGATAGAAGAACATCATCGCTTTTCATTGGATTTCTGTGGTTTATTCTTATTTTGAGCTCAATTTCTTGGCTTCAAAGTTATGGGACACCATTTGCAACCACAATGGTACAATAACCCACGAATGAAGCATATGAAGTGACATAAACAGAGACAAGACTATAATGGAATAAGAAAGCATGTCAAATGCATCCAAACTTAGCCTACAAGGTGAATATTATAAGTGAATATGTTTATGTGGAAGCAATATCTGAAGAAAAAGAAGGGCTAATAAAAAAAAATCAACAAAACAGCTAAGAACTCTGGGATAACCTACCACATACTGTCTTCCAACTGTCTTGTTGGGTCTCATCACCTTGCAAAAGTAAGAACACTTCAATTTTCGACCAGATAGCACAAACAACTTGATTAAAAAACTAATTGTGACCTGACTGTTTAAATATGAACACTGCCAGGGCCTACAGTGTTTTTTTTTACTGAAGACATATACAAAAGTATGAGGACACCCCTCTTAATTATTGAGTTTAGGTGTTTCAGCAACACTCATTGCTGACAGATGTATGAAATCAAGCAAATAGCCATCCAGTCTTCATAGACAAACACTGGCAGTAGAACGGGTTATACTGAAGAGCTCAGAGACTTGAAACGTGGCAACGTCATAGGAAGCCACCTTGGCCCTAAGTCAATTTGTGAAACTGCTCTGCAGATCTGCTCTGCTAGATCTGCCCCGGTCGTTTAGCAGCAACAACAGCTCAGCCACAAAGCGGTAGACCACGCAAACTTACAGAGGAAGGTCACAAAGTGCTGAAGCTCTTAGTGCAAACATCACCTATCCTCTGTTTCATCACTCGCTACAGAGTCACAAACTGCCTCGGGAAGCAACATCAGCACACATACTGTGCATCGGGACCTTCATGAAATGGGTTTCCATTTGCCGAGAAGCTGTACACAAGCGTAACATCGCTTTAGGCAATGCCAATCATCGACTCAAGTGGTGTAAAGCACACTGCCGCTGGACTCTGGAGCAGTAGAAACATGTTCTCTGAGGTGTGATGAAACAGGTTACACCTTCTTCCTTGATGCCAGGTCACATCTTTCATACCACTATATGATGACTCGTTTTCCCTAGTCCCAAGGCAGCGGTTGAAGAAAATTTGATGGCACAAGACCACGATAGCCATGTAGATCTCCCTGGACCAATGCAAGAAATTTTAATATCTTGTTAAGGAGTTGATTTTACAATAAGGGCAAAAGATAGAAAGAAAGGCCAAAATACTCACATAATAAAACCCATCACTGTCCACATCTCCAAAAACATAGATTATATCTCCTGCTCGGAAAGGAAGCTCATCCTGCAAAACAACATCAGAACATCCTCAAAATGACTGTATTTTATGGAACTGGTTTTAAAAAGTTTGCTCAAAACCAAACAACTGACTTTTTTTTAACATATAGACACAATATTCTTGCAATTTCATGTGGAAAATAAAACAATATGTGTGCGTAGTCACCTCAATATCCATATTGGGGGAACTCTCCCAGGGGTCATAATCAAAAATGGCTACCATCCTGTGGACTGCCACATCATCAGGCAAACTGGATGACTCGCTAGGTGCTGTTAATACACACAACACAATTTAGCAGAAAATGGGCATCATGTGAAGCTTCTGGCAAACCTATGCTTGGTTACTTGCATGCAGAATATGTGAAACCTCCAAAGCAAAGGTAAGAGAAAGAAAAATGGATAAATGGATAAAAGATGGATACCTATAGAGTTTCCTGAGGACTCCTCTGGCAGAAAGCCCTGTTCAAACAGGCGAAGTTTGAGCTCTTCGTCTTCTATTGGAATCTCAGACACCATGTTACTTGGTACAAAACCAAAGCGACCAGCCAATTCCCCTTGGTAGAAGCCATCAGCATCTTTATCACCGTAAACCTAATAAAAAAGGCTGCATATCAGTCATTAATTTCCATCACAGTACCAGATAAGAGGGACGTATGATAAAAGCAATCAGAGATAAGTTGCAAAAGTGGAAACAACTGTTTACTTCAGATCTCACACATGATTTCAAATGGTAAACTTGTTGATAATTAGATGAAAACGTACCATGACACTAATATTCAGTAGTCTACAGATATGCTAAATATCAAGCTAATATTTGAAATAAGACTGACGACACCACAGGAGTGAACTGTGAACTCACTTATCTTATCATTCGCCAGACTATGTTAATAACGCCAATAAGACCACTGACTGACATTGCAATACAATGCCAAGGTTCTTTTTGAATAGAGTTGAAGTCTTTACGTTTACCTTAATAATCTGTCCTTGTTCAAAAGACAGCTCCTCCTCCATTGTCTCAGGGTTTGGAGACATCACTGCAGGGTTGTACGAGAAAAGTGCTACAAAGAGACGCACATTTGGGTCATACATCTCCCTTTCTTGCTCCCACCTTTCCACATCCTCTGGCGTAGCCACCCTCAAACCATCTGGATACAGATAAACATCCACTCCGATCATTTCAGTCCACTACCTCCCTGACTGTGACTGTCCAAGTCCCTTCTGGCAGACGTTGAGTCCACAGACAGGTGGCTAGGAGATGAAGTCTGCTCCTTTAGAGTTTTCTTTTCGGCCTCAAGAGAGGTTACCAAGCTAATCTGTCCGGGACTAATCCTCTTGAATGAAAAGGATCAATCTCACTGCCGACAAGATGCAGACTGGTCAAGAAAACAAACAACTAAGCAAGTAAAAATGATTTTGTCCTATGAACGGTCAGGATTCTACAACAACCTGGACAGCACGAGAGAATGACACAGGGCGCACAGGAAGGAAAGACCTAGTACAAGCTTTAGGAGACAGAAATAATAATCTGACGTTGGACTTCACTAATCCTGCATCCCTTCTGATTAGCTGAGCTGTCCACTCTGACCTGAGCCAAGTAGGGCTAGTTATTAACCTGCTAACGCTAAGAATGGAGCGTCTACACAATCCTCATGTTGCCCAGACCATGTGAACTGATTCATTCAGCAGCTGAAAGCCACTGAAAAAAAAAAATCAATAAATTATAAGTGTGGAAGTAAGAGTTCGTCCATGTGTTAGTGGCAGGCGGGATAAACTGGACAAACAGACAACTTAACTAACCTGCAGCAAATGACTAGTATTTCCCAAGCAGCAAGAATTCATCAGGCTGACCAAGGGTTCTAATGAACGCAAGAGACTGATGTTAATGCCTGATTAAATGGATGAAGGTTGACCTCTGACTTTTGCACAGTACTGTATACAGAGGCACTCATGGCCAGTATAAAGAATTTTAGCATTTGATCTTTGTAACAGTTTTATTCAAACCTATAAACCTGCTCCAGCTGTGGGAGTGGCCCATTATCAGTTCTTAATGAATATTTTAGATCTGATGCATAATGTCTGGGGCATGACTTCTGATATCAGGGTGAAAGTACAGCCAACACTTCATTATTTACTCCAATACATACAAGGTGATTCATAAAGGAATTCATTGAAATAGTTTATGTATATTGTGCAGTCTCACCAGATTACATAAGACTAATCACAGAGTAAAAGTCTCTGCATTATTGCTATTACATGTCAATAATTGATGATGAAAAACAGGGTCAAGATTATTGACCTACGCCAAACATCATGTGTTTGGACAGGCTACAGACTTTGTATTGCAGGGTGTGGTTGGAAGCACATTTGCTCATTCTTAAGTCCTGATCCCGACTGAAGTAGTCATCACCATGCAGAGTCCAACACTTGCAACTAATCCAATAGACAACAGCTTTTTCATAAATTAGTTTTCACCTGTATCAGTTGTCTTAGGAAGATCGCTAGGTGGACGCGGGTAGTGTGAACTTACATTTATTTCAGGTCAATTCTCATGGATTTGTACTTTACTGAGAATTATCAAATTATATAATCAAAGTATATCTGTGTAATTTACCATTAATTCTCATTTCCTTTTTGTGTTAAATATAATTGAGTTCTTTTGATTCAGGGCCTTTTCTGCTTTGCTGTTTCACCTGAGTTTCAGCATTTTATTTCAAACAAAAAGTGGCATAAAAAGAAAAGAACAGTGCCTAGAAAACTTAAGTTCTTATGCTGATAGATGCTGTATGGACTAAGACATTCCACTCGATACGTGAGGAGTTTTTGACCTGAAAGTTTTTACTCTTACTCGAGTTGTTTTATGGAAGCTATTTTTACTTCTACTCTGCTCATTATGTTTCACTGAATGCTGAACAATATATTCAGGTTTAGGAGCAACATATGCTGACATCCAGATGATGTCTTTTTAGGGAAGGCCTTGCTTATTTTAGCAAGACAACGCCAAACCACATTCTGCACGTCCAGACCTGTAACCCACTGAGAACATCTGGTGCATTATGAAGAGAAAACCACGGCAAACGAGACCCTGAATGGTTGAGCAGCTGAAATTCTATATCAAGCAAAAATTACACAACTTTTCACTTTTAGAACGACAGCAGCTGGTTCCCTCAGTTCCCAAATGCTTAAAAAGTGTTGTTAAATAAAGAGGTGATGCAACACAGTGGTAAAACGTGTTGCTAGCAAATTCAAAATGGGCAAACATTTTTCAAGAACAATAAAATTTCTCAGTTTCAACATTTGATATGTTGCCTTTGTACTACTTTCACTTAAATATAGGGGTTAAACGATTTGCACATCATTGCATTCTATTTTTATTTACATTTTGCACAGCGTCCCAACTTTTTTGGAAACAGGGTTGTAAATTATGTAGCGGATTGCAGAAGTGCTGGATGCAGGTAGGGGAAAAAGCTGGCATATCTCGATGTTGTAGTTAACACTGTAAAAGTAGCATCAGGTCAAAGGCTCACCTATGTAAGGTACCCTGTGCTTATAATTAAAATATCCACTTTTTGGGTGTATATGTAGACACTCACACACCCTTGAGCCAAAACATTATGACCTATATGCCATTATGACATATATGCTTGATATGCTGTTGGTCCTTCGTGTGCTGCCAAAACAGCTCCGACCTCCTGAGGACTCTACAAGACCTCGGACGTTGTCCGGTGGTATCTGGCACCAAGATGTTAGCAGCAAATCCTTTATGGCCTGTAAGTTGTGAGGTGGAGCCACTGCAGACCTGACTTCTTGCTCCAGCACATCCCATAGATGCTCAGTTGGATTAAGATCTGGGGAATTTGGAGGCTGGCGCAACACCTTGAACTCTTCACCATGTTCCTCAACCATTTCTGAACAATGTTTGCAGTGTGGCAGGGCACATTATCCTGCTAAAAGAGGCTACTGCCATCTAGGAACACCACTGCCATGAAGATGTGTACCTGGTCTGCAACAATGTTTAGGTAGGTGGCAAGCGTCAAACTGACGTCCACATGTATGCCTGAACCCACGGTTTCCCAGCAGAACATTGCCCAGTGCATCACACTCCCTCCACCGGCAGGGTAGACAGGGGTTAGCATGGGCAATTTGACCGGTCCACAGCTATGCAGCCCCATACACAACAGGGCACAATGCACTGAGTTTTGTGACAAATTCCTCCCGCTACCATCATTAAGAATTTCTTGACTTGGGGCACAGTAGCCCTTCTGTCAGTTCAGACCAGAGAGGACAGCCTTCATTGTCCTTGCATATCAGTGAGTCTTGGGCACCCAGTACCTTACCATCAGTTCATGGTTTGTCCTTCTTCATTCCACCGTTGTAGGTAGGTAATCATCACACCTAAATGGAGCACCCCACAAGCCTTACCATTACCTTAACAAGAAGATCCGACCCAGTCGGAAAAAAAAATCCTCTCTGGTGGCTGTAAAATTGTACCTAAGTCCAAGTCATGATATGATGTTTATTTTTAAAACGCTTCAACAGATAACACCTTAACATCTAATCTCGGACATCAGGGCAAAGGATGGTGCAATTAAGTGTGACCCTATCAGTAGGCCAACCAAGAAATGATAATGCTATTTAGAGAAGCCTTCATATCACACAAGTGTCAGTGTAATGGTAGCCTGACACCAGTAATCAAATCCCTAGCTAATCCACTGGCTACCAAAGCAATAAAACTAACCATAGGAGTTATGATATCAGTTATAATATGATATCCAGCTCTGTTATCCTTGTTACTGTAGCTTTAATAGGGTTCCTGAGCTAGCTGAGTGTTTTCAGGGTGGGATTTTAACATTATATTACTGATTTTGATATTATTAATATTATCATACATGATGTTATTGGTTACACAGGATATTATTGGTTAATATTATTTATTAGAAAAATCAGAAGACGTAGGCAAAATTGTTACATTTTCACAGAAGATTACAAGAAAGCAAGATTTCTGTTTTTTAAAACAGTGGTTCTCAAACCGGTCCTTGAAGCCCCCCACAGACGGTTCACCTTTTGTTTCCCAATCTAACTCACAATGCATAGGGATAGAGTAAAAATGTGGAGCATCTGAAGGGCCATGATGCTTAAAGCTGCATTGTGTAGCTAAGGATCCCTCTCTGGTGGATCCCTCTCTGCTGGATCCCTCTCTGGTGGAAATGTGTCATTGCAACATCAGTTGGCTTCCCCAAGCAAATGAATAAGATAATTGTGAGCATGTTCAAAGAGCTTTCAATGTAAACTCAGCCAAAACTTGTTAAAGGATGTGTCTTCTGAGAATTTAAGTGAATTATCTACTATTCTTATCAGTATAATGTTGATTTTGCATTTGAGACCTAAACATCAAGTCGGATCTTCTTTTTACTCTATGTGTGTGACATTAATACGTAAAGACGTATGACGTGGTCCAAAAAACTACCGCAAAATCCAACCCGACACCTCTGACTTTTAAATAATTATTTTAAGCTTTGCAGGGTGACTCACAGCAGTGCACAAACACTACACTAGCATGTTTTTTTTTCTTACTCAGCAATGCTACTTCTTTCAATTTCAACAAAAAATCGTATATATTGCAGCTTTAATATGACAACAACATGAATTAACAACGTAAAAATGTAAACTTTCATTGCTGGTTGACTTCAAGTGCTTACAAACAAAGGAACAATGCAAAAAGGTAGAGCTAAATTCTTCAGGAAAACATGAAGTACGTTTATGTTAGTAATGAGATAAGATTTTGGTCTAAAACCCAGATCTACATGCAGATCTTTTTAAGTCAAAACAGTTCCCAAAGAATTCTTATATTTTCAGATTTACCACTATTTCAGAAGACTTGTGTAGGTTCACAGGTTGTTTTGTATTATAAAGAATAATGTCTAATTCTGTTGACTCCTGGTTCTTATCACCACCACTGTAAAGAAAATCTGTAAGAAGTCTGTAAGTTTCTCAACAATTAACTATTTCACATCAAACCACTCTGAATGATTTTGTTTATATCACAATGACTAAAATATGCAGAGATTAAAAAATAATCAGAGTAATTTAAAAAAATCAGAGTAATTTTAAAAACATAAAGGTTGTGAAAATCCATGGTTTAACTCAGATCTAGCTAGTTTTTTTACATGAGCATGATG